TACATGTTTCCAGCATCACATATTCCACACACTATGAAAGAACATCTCCATATCTTCTCTCATTTTAAATCCCACTGTTACTTCGAACAATAGTAAACCTGCAGAGCACACCAATCGGATCACAGTAATGAAATTTGAATCAAGTGTAGGCCTATGTCTACTTTCTGTACATTTATTTATATTGTCTAAATTCCTTGTCTATGATGTGCAAACAGTTTGAGTGTAAAATGTGTTTTGCACAATGTATTTACACTCTACAGATTCTTGAGTTTACTCATCTCCTGGTGCTGTCGTTGTAAAAAATGTTCAATCCCTTATTGTTTTGTACCAGTTTTCCAAAATCAGTTATAATTAATATACTGGGAACGTGCTTCCCGTCTTCAATACCGGCCAGCAATGTAATGATTAAACTCTAAGCTCGCAGAAGTTTCAAGGGTGTGATACCCCCTTTCAGCCACCAGATGGCAGCAGCAGAAGTTTCAAGGGTGTGATACCCCCTTTCATCCACTAGATGGCAGCAGCAGAAGTTTACAGACAAAGGGAAACGCTCTCCCTCGATTTAATATATAACAGAGCTCTGGCTTTAAGCTTTCAGCATTGGTCTGTTATTAAAACCCCAGTTTTTAAACGGCGACCCGATCTAATATATCGAGTTTCCAGGTTTTTGTGGTGCAGGACTCAAACCTCGCAACCCACAAAACTGCCCCGTCTCCACGCCACTCAGGAATAAACTACCTGCAAATCCGCGTCAAACTGCTCTATTTTACGTCACGCAGGACTTTTCGTCTACCTGTCGATCAACGTTCACGTTTCGTATATAACTTTCCTAACATAGTAAAATATGCATTGTATATTCCATTTAAACTTTAAAAACACTGTGAAACGCCTACAGACAATCCTAAAGTTTTATCCAATTACAAACAGGCGATTTTCATCGTCTGCTTACCTTATTTGCAGAGTTGCAGAATCCTGCTGATTGTCTGAGATGTTTGAAAGCGTCTGAATTCTTCCCCAGCTTCGTTATATCTAGACGTCAGGGTCACCATTTTGTTGGAGATTTGGAGGGATAACTGGTCCGCTTTTCAAATCTCTGCGCGTTCCTATGAAGCTGGTTATAATACAGGAAGGAATCCATATCTACAAAGTAACCGTTAACAATAATCTACTTTAATGGCAATATGACAATGCAATACAATCATTACAATACAACATGATATATTACAGTTATATTGTAATGCTTAAGGAGTAATGCCGGCTTACTCCTGCCCTGGTTCGCGTGCTGCGGAGATCCTTTCGCTCGAGGCAGCATGTGAAGAGAGACCGAACGCCAGGGATCCACCGGATATATACCAGAGTAAGAAGGAGGGGTTTGGTGTTAGGTCAGCTGGTCAACTTTTCAGGTCATCTCATTGGGAGACGCAACGCTGGCCAGCAGGAAACCAAACAGGCTCACCTTACAACCAAAAGTCTCAAGGCCTGCATACCTACACCTCCCCCCACATCTTCCTTTGTCCTCAAAAACACATGTCAAAAGGCCCCAAATGCAGCTCACAGTTTTACCCAAATTATTCTCATTTTAAGCTTATCCATAGTTTGCTAACATGAATAAATACAAATATAACTCTACAAGCCTTCTCAGTGGCAGCTCCTAGGCTCTGGAATTCCCTCCCCCAAGATCTCTGTGACTCTAAGTCCCTCAGTCATGCAGTCCCTCCTCAAAACCCATCTCTTCAACTCTGTCTACCCATAACCCCCCCCCCCCCTCTCAATCAACTTCCTCTTGACTGCCTTTTCTGTTTACTTTACTTGTTTTGCCTGTCATTGTTTGTCTACCCTCCCTCATACTGTAAAGCGCCTTTGAGTTGTAGAAAAGCGCTATAAATATAATGTATTATTATTATACAAGTATATTTAGAAATACTCCATTTTAATTATTGATGCATACATGTGTTCATCCATTCAATGTGGCATCTGCTATAATGGGGTTAATGTATGATATTACTTAATAATAAAACACATTGCAAAAAGGACTAGTTGAATCAAGCAATCTTCTTAGCCATGATATAATGAGCGTATATCACGGATAGAATTGTAGTTACTTTTCAAAAGTATCCCTCCGCGTTTGAGAAAAGCTACAATCGTTACAACTGTTACATTACGTCCGTTACGAAACTAACTAACTAACAAAGCTTAAAATGGAAACATTTAAGATTAACTTCGACCTCCGGGGTGGTCTTACTATGGAGGAGTGGATTGAGCAGTGCCTATCTCCAGAAAAAAAGCACCTAAACGACGACATGCAGAGCTACGTGAAGAGCAGGTAGACCAACTGGAAAAGTACCACCATTCAAAAGCTTTCTGATGCGGGTCTTGAAACAAAGCAGAGAAATTATGACCGTTACGGCCCGTCCACACGGCGGCGTGTGTTGAAGCTTCAACGCTTCTGCCCATTCACTTTGAATGGGGTAACGTCACTCTTTGCCGAACTGCATTGTGGCTCCGTCGCTTCGCGTTGCTCGCTTCAAAAGTTTCTCAACTTTTGAAGCTTGGTTGTTGGTCGAGTTTCAGACACGCCCGCCGGCAAGCTTCAACACACGCTGCGTTAATAGCCACAGGTGTGAAAGCTCTCTCCAGAGCTGCTGGAAGCCGAATCTCGGGGACCGGAGAAAGTGGAGCAATATTCTCACCACGCCAAGCAACAGCCTAGAACAACCTCAACCTATACAAGTAACCACGTAAGCCATTCTACTGATGCTGGACAGAATGTAAATAAATAGCCAAAAAATCGATCAACGCTCTCTGTCTACACAACTTGCCTTACCTGAGCTCTGCCATGACAGATGTTTTAGAGGGACTAAACAGAGACATAACCTCACATTAGAAGGACCTTGAGGTGGCCACTTGTGATATTCTACAACATCCTGGATGTCTCTGCTTACAATGCCTTTGCACTTTGGATGGCAATAAACCCAGAATGGAACCAAAAGAAGCTCCAAAGAAGACGCATTTTTCTGGAGGAGCTTGGCAAGGCACTGGTGACACCTCACATGCAGCGAAGACAACACATGCCCAGGAACCCAGCCTCTGTTGCTATATTGAGGAAGATGGTGGCAACTCCTGCTGCTACACATGCACGGCCAACACAACCACAACCTGTGTGTGTGTGTGTGTGTGTGTGTGTGTGTGTGTGTGTGTGTGGTGTGTGTGGTGTGTGTGTGTGTGTGTGCGTGTGTGTGTGTGTGTGTGTGTGTGTGGTGTGTGTGGTGTGTGTGTGTGTGTGTGTGTGTGTGTGTGTGTGTGTGTGTGTGTGTGTGTGTGTGTGTGTGTGTGTGTGTGTGTGTGTGTGTGTGTGTGTGTGTGTGTGTGTGTGTGTGTGTGTGTTAGGAGATGTGGTGAAAACATTTTCTGAACTAATACATATGTTACTGTTCTAGATTGCACCCTGTGCCGGCAAAAGGAAGCGCTGTGAGGTCTGTGGACCCTCAAAGGACTCCAAGACACAGACTACATGCAGCAACTGCAACAAGTACATCTGTGCTATACACACGAAGAGGTTCTGCACATCATGTGTTTCCTAAACGGACCTGCCCATTGACTCACATGATGTTCTGCAGCTTCACTTCATCAATATAGTTTTCGGATATACTGTATTTTATGAATAGTGACTGTTAATTGTTTTTATTTATTGTGTTTATATCTGGTCTATGTCATTTATATGGATGTTTCATTCTCTCTATATTTCACAGCCAAATACTTTTGGATGTGGTTCTTGTGTTCCAATTGCTGATAAATTGCTTTATTTCCTTCAGGGCTTTGATTAGTATATGACAGATTAAAAATAATAAACATTAATGAAACAACGTTTCATTTACATGTGTCCTAGAAAAGCATGAGCAAAATGTAAACCTAGTTTTTATTACAGTGTATTTTTTTTAACATAAATTTCATTTTTATCACAAAAAAAAATTGTTACATTTGATCCAGCAAAGAGTATTTTCAAAAACTAATCATATTTCATTTATATTGTTGGGGAATGAGTTAAAGACAATATACAGTATAAGGAATTGTGCATGTTGAATTTAGATCTGTATTTTTTTAAACCCTGAAATATGTCCCGGGTCAATTTAACCCGAACATTACCAAAGGGTGCGAAATGTGAACTTATAACACAAGGGTTCAAAACTAAAGGTGACCGTGCCTTTCAGCTGGAGCTCCAACACTGTGGAACTCTCTCCCTATAGTCATCCGCTCTGCAGTCTCTGTAGAAGCTTTTACAAAACTACTGAAGACCTACCTTTTTACATTGGCTTTTATTTCTATTTGAAATGAGTGTGATGTGTTCTGTTATTATGTTTGTTCCTTTCAGCACTCCACGTGGTCTGTGTTTTGTTTTTATGTTGACCTTACATTTCTGCCTCATGTGGCTATTGTATTCATGTTTCTGTGGTCTTCATTTGAACTTATGTTCTTACTTGTGAAGTAAGTAATTATATTTCTGTGAAAGGTGCTATAATAAATAAACGTATTATTATTATAAAACATTTTTACAGACATTGTTAACAGTAAAAACACTCAATAATTACACAGGACTTCAAAGAGGGCTTTACAAGTTACAAATGTGTCCTCAAAACCGTTTATCAATATTGAATGAAAAAGGGGAAAAAATCAATCACAACCTGTCTCTGCTAGTCTTCTGCTGGGCACTGTGCCAAAGTGTTACACAAACAGCACACACACACTCAGTAATACACAGTTACTTTGAAGCACATAAACTTAACCAGGAAAGAAGACATTTGTACATTCTGTCTGCTATTACAACGCTTCGCTGGCAGAAGTTCTCAAGTGCTTTGCAACTTCCGGTTAGTTTTGCTGATGTGTATTTTAGTGACTAAATGAAATTCCAATGTCTGAGTCATCCACTTGCAGATCGCCCCCAAAGCCCATCACAGCTCATGTCTAGTCATAAAATATATTCATACATACTGCCCAGAGTACTCATTTCAGAATGTGAACGCGTACACTACACCCAGGACTACAATGTTCCCAATGGTGGCAGTGATGGCTATCCAGAGCCAAATGGCGTCCCTGGACATGGACTGGGGGAGTTCCTCAGGCTGGCTTTGAGCTGCCATGGAGGCAGCGTGGACGCTGGAAGAAGAAGTGAACAGAGAGTGGTCCGTGCTGTAGTCATCATTAGGCGATGAGTCCATGAAGACCCCCGTCATCATTGGAATCTATGGGCCCAAAGAAAAAGAACAAGGCAGTTACAAACTCGACTGCGTCTTTATAGAATATGATAAAGCTGCTTTTCGTTCAGAAAGGTTTAAAAACGTTAACTCTGTCGAGCTCAGGCCCTAATAATAATAATAATAATAATAATCAGAGTAAAAACAATATGTCATAAGGTGTGCCTTGGAAATACTTGTTTACATAAATCGTGACCAAACCATTTGAGAGCTACTGAGATATTAGACTAAGTTAACTATATAAACACTCAGAGAGTCCTTTACCTTACTGAGCCAGGAGCTTGTATTTTATATTTAACACAAACCGTTGACAATGAAATGTCTATGTCTGGTGCTTTCCTAAGATTTAACTTGGCTACTGTAACAACTGCAACAACTTTAATCTTGGCCAGCCTTTATCTTAAATATTCTGACAAACCTGTTTGACATCTCCTCACAAGGAACAAGGAAATGTTGCCTATTTTACGGTAAAAGACACATTTAAAGTTCATTTATAGGGCCGTTAATCATTTCTATTATTAATCTTTGTGTTCTATTAATATATAAATGTTCTATTAATAGTTTTAGAATGTACGTTTTCGTTATAACTTGGTTTCTAGGATTGTTAAACGCTAGGTGTGGTTTTTGGATTATCTCACCTTGAAGGACTTCTAGTATTTGCAAAAATAAATACAACAATAATCTGCTGACAGTCAAGTCTTTGCCCAAGTATTTACGTTTGGTGTCTATAATGATGAAGTCCAAGCTATGTAACGTGCATGTCCCTCAAAGAGTTTATGGTAATCAAAAATAGTCAAAGTCAACTTAATTGTCAATTCCTCCGTGTGTGATACATACAGGGATATCTAAATGCTGTTTCTCACCATCCCAAAGAATACAAATATACAAATTAGGGCTGGGCAACTTAACGTGTTATTAATAAACACCAACAGTTTTTTTAATTATTATTATTATTTTGAAAGTCCGTTGCTCACTGGCTCTGAATACACATACAGACAAAGCAATGGTCCCAGGAGGGGCGCGTTGAAAGCAGTATTGTCTTAGAATGGGCGTATCATGCGTTTTAACCAATGAGAGCATTTGGGGCGGGTCTAAGACTGCTGCAGCGCTCACATGAACCGAAACAGAAATGAAGTGGCGGGGACAGAAACATGGAGAAAGGTACCGAACTCTGATATGGACATTTTACATCTCAATTGATAGAACCAGAGTTATTTGTAACCAGTGGCGTAGCTCTGGGCCTGGGCCTGGGCCTGGGCCTGGGCCTGGGCCCACCCACAGCCAATCAGCACGTTATAGAGTGGCGAAGTCCCTCCTCTTCCGGTGGACCTCCATGGGACCTTATTTCGGAAAAATTATGTATTGAAGTCAATGGAGAGAGAAAGATTATCTTTCGATCCCATTTGGATTGTGCCACGAATTACACATATGATGTTTGACAATTTAAAAGATAATTTTGCAAGTCAAAAAAAAAAAAGATTTGTCGTAAAACTGCGAAGTAACACATTTGTTTGTGTGAAACGCTCAATGAACTACATCTCTGGTCTCGCACAACAACACACGTCACCAAGATGGCCGTCACTGTCTTGTCAACAAAACGATTGACTATACCCTCACTATCACCACAATGAAACACGTCCAGAAGAATGTCATGCAAAGCTGCCTGCCTGCCTTCCTTTGATTCTCTCTGAACTGCCTGATCTTTTTAATGTTTAATGTCAACCATTTGTGGAGATAGCGTGAAGTAGAAAAGATCGCAGATGCTAATGTAGCGTTAGCATTTCTCCCCCGGGCTTAAATGGTGTATTATAGAATGATCACACCGGTGTGACAGTACTCTTCAAAGGGTTCACGAAATATGACTACTACTCTTACTGTATAACATTTTGGGTTACTTAATGTTACTTAATGTTAAGGCTAATACAAATGACAAGGCTGTAATGCTAACTAACGTGCTTGCTACTAGCTAGGTAGCTAACTTGATCCAGCCACTCCTGGTCCTTTCATCAGATGGGAAGCCAAAGAACGAGCAAGACCCATTGCTGGTATGATTACAGCCTGGTACTAAGCACACAGGCATCTTGTTAAAGTTATCTTATCTTAGCTATCTCTTATATTTAGTGGAGGAAAACAATTGTGACATCAGTTATGAGTGACATCACTTACTCTGGGATTTCTAGTTGCATATTTTTCATAGTCTTATATTTCAACAGTTTTACGACAAACTGTGACTTTTTTGACATGGAAATGATTTTTTAAGATTGACAAACATCATATGTGTAATTCATGGCACAATTCAAATGGGATCGAAAGATACGTTTTCTCTTTCCATTGACTTCAATAGAGTGGTGAAGTCACGCCCATCTACTTCCGGTCCATGGGACCTTATTTCAGAAAAATTATGTATTGACTCGTGAATTCTCGCGCGCGATGACTTGTACTCGGACTCGTGCATCTTTGCCCCCATGATGACTCGGACTCGACTTGTACATTGACGCTCCAACTTGGACTCGGACTTGAGCAAGTTTTCTCTGGAGTCTGATGTCCTCGGTCCTGGCGTGTGCAACTGCGAGGCGAGTTCACGTACTGGGCCCCGCTATTCCAGTCTAAAGATGTCTAGAGACACACCCTGCATCGTGTTCACACATTCTGCTTCCACATTGGAAAAGAGCAGCGCAAAATGCTCGTTATGTGAAAACAATATTGAAGAGAAGGCTCCCTAACACATTACTCCAAGGATCGAGTTCAGACATATAGGCTGTCTTGAACACTATCATCAGAGTAACATGTTCTAATTAGGGATGTTAAGATTCACCGATTCGCATCGGTGCACTGGCACAAACCTTCAAGATGCGAGTGCACCGGTTGAAAGAGTGCACATCCACTACAGTTTGGGTTGAACTCGCGATGCATCGATTGTAGCGTCTTTGCATCGGTAAAAAAACGATTCATTCATATAATATCCTCTCATCCTGTCAGCACTCAGACGATCTTTGATATCTGCTTCACCACTACGGCGGCCGAGAGTCTCAGTTATCAACACACATGGAAATCGAAAATCGAAATTGTAGCGCACCTACAAAAATACCTACAAACCAAACGTTTGGCAACACTTCGGATTTTTCAAGAAAGACGGTCAACTTCAAAAATCCCTCGCAAATTGTAAACGATGCCGTGCCGCTTTAAAGTACACAACTAGTACGAGGAAATTAGCGACGCACATAAAGAGGCGACATGGGGTCTGCGGCTGAAAAGAGAAACCTGAAAGTTATACATATGAGTTAAATCCCTCAGTGAGGTGTTCTGTCAGAGAGAGTGGTGTTTAGTTTACAGCAGCCTGTGACAGCCAATAATAGTTGAAATGTCTTCCTTACTGTCAGCAGTTATGAAATACCTGTTTGTGAAAGGTTATTTGTATTCTTTATTGTTCATATAGAACCCACTGCTTTCTGCTCACTGGTGAGTTAGCCTATGAATGAGTGTTCAGCACATCAGGCTGGCAGCTGTATGGGCATTGCACTATGGTAGCTGTTATTTGCACATTGTTAATCATAGGCAATGCATCCTTAAATAGTTTAACTGTGAGGTGTTATAACATTGAACTGTACTCTGGAGAGCTTTTTAAGGTAAAAAAGAAACGGCATGATGGGATGTGCAGTACCAAATATGTAAAGCACTTTTTTGTTAATGTATGATTTGCTGCATATAAGGAATAAAACAAAATCCTCTGTCGTACCATATTGAAGTATCATTATTTTTGCATCGTGTTGAATCGCATCGTATCGCCCCGAATCGCATAATGTTGAATCAAATCGTATCGAACTGTATCGCAACAGGGGTAAATCGTATAGCATCGCATCGTCTGGTGTTTCAAATGTATCGTTAATGTATCGTATCGTGGCAACGTAGCGATGCACATCTCATCAGCCTCAGTGATGGAGATGCACATCCCTAGTTCTAATCAATAAACAAAGATTCAGCTGATAACACGAAAGCACCTGGCTACTTAACATGCAGAATGTTGTCATTTTGCATGCTAAGTAGCCATGTGCTTTCTGGGTCTTAATCTTTATTGATAGAGTTGTGTTGTGTGAGACATTATATTCAGCAGAAGTCTCCACGTTTGCAGTCAACCAAAGTAGCTTGTAAGTATGCTAACGGACAGAAGAAACACACGACCACATCGCTCAGAGTTTGGCCTGGAGTACTGGGCCGTTTATTGTATCTGCGCATGCTCATTAGCATCACCACGTTTCAGGCACATTCTGATGATGTCATACACATGAACTGAAACATGACTTTGTTATTATACAAATATGCTCAACAGTCCCACTCAAAGACATGTTGATAACTCTCTACAGTGGTACACAGAATCCAAATAAACAAAACAAAAGCTTCTCTAGCAGTGTTCAATTTTTATACCTGCAATTTACATTACTCTCCAAACAAATACCCTTTGAACTTGTCAAATTGTGCCTTTGTCAACGGCTTGGTTAGGACATCAGCTACCATATCTAGTCAGCCATAACCTCTGCCGCACTGAAGGGGGCGCACGTGAGCCCACAGGTCCTTGTTGCTACTGTTATTCTACGCAGACATGGTATAGACGCGAACCAGAGCCCTAGAGAGATAAGAGTTACGATGTCAGTACCAGATATGTTCGGGCTACCAGATATGTTCGGGTGTATTTCCGTCGCATCCGTCATCCGTCATATCCGTCATATACTCACCTCCCTCTGCTCCCAGCGCTCTGCTGCCACACACCGGCCGTCTGCGGAACTGCAGCCGGAGGAACTCGGGACAGCTTGTTATGTGTGGGGTGCTATGGTGGGGTCCCATGTACTTGTGCACATAAATAATGTTCTATTTCGTATATGGCTTCGCCCTCTAAGGCTATCGCTATTGGGTTTACCCTTCTGCGCCCCCGCGCAGTACTGAAAACACTTGTAGTCCATGCCCACCCGCTAGGTGGGCCCCACCCTCGGGCCTCCTTCCGGTATAAATAGGGAGGTTGCCCGGCGATCTGCTCCCCTCTTTTCTTCAGCAACCAGCAGTTTACTGAAGCACGAGAAAAGCAACATCATGAGCAATAAAGAGTGTGTCCGTATGTGCCCTTCGTGCAATACAGCTACATTATGAGCTACGATTTGCATCCGATATGCGCAGCCTGTCTGGGGCCAGAGCACGCGGACGCGGCTCTCAGCCAGCAGGTTGCATGTCCTCACTGTGTGCGTCTTCCTTCATCCGACAGGAAGCGAGGGGCGGACGCTCTAGCTGCTGCAGGTGAGGAAGACGTCTGGGGTGGGCAGGAACCCATCCAGAACACACCACCATGGCTCCAGAGGAGGCGGAGGAGATCGCTAAGGCGGCCAGCACGGCGCTCTCGCTGTGCGCAGCCGTGGCGGTGTCCCAGGCGAGGATTACAGCCTGGATGACACAGATCCAGCGTCACCTCTGGTTACAGCAGGCAGCGGTCACAGAGCCAGCCAGGAAGGTTTTACTGGACGCTCCGATCAGCTCGGACGGGCTGTTCGGGCCCCAGTTCCTGGCCATGGTTGATTCCATGAAGGCGGCATCGGAGCAGGCGGAGGACATCCGCCAGCACGTCGGCTGGCTCCAGCCAGCGGTGAAGCAGCAGCGACACCAGCAGCAGCAGCAGCAGCCAACCCGGCCACAGCGGCAGACGGACAGACACCAGCAGCAACAGCAGCCGAGGCGTCAGAATCATCCGTCAGCGGCGGCCGCGGCACCGGCCCACACCTCCAGGGCACCGTCCCGCACCTACGGGCCCCCACCAGAGGGGGGTAAAAAGGGAGTGAGATACTCCCGTTCGGCGTCTGCTCCATGAGAGCCGCCGAGGAGACAGAGCGGCCTTGACGGTTTGGGAGGGAGTGTGAGGAAAATAAAAAGAAGCTTATTTTCCAACATGTTGGCTGAGTCATCAGTTTCAAATGTGTTTCACATATCCCCCACTCTGGGTAAACCAGCTGCCTATGACCTATCGGTTAATAGCCAGCAGGATTCGTTACAAAAGCCTGCGCATTTTAATCTATCGATTAATAAGCTGCGGAGCACAGTAACTACACCAGCTGCCTTCAATCTGGTGATTAGTAGGCAGCATGGTTCGCTGCAGGGTTCTGGTGGTTATAACTTTCGGTTATTAAACCACAGACCTCGCGGCATTCCTCTATCCGAGATACGCCACCTACACACGGTGACAATAAGCCCATGAGCGCCGTGGTAACGCCTCATGTGGTTATCACTGCACACACCTCCACCCATCCTCTGAGCGTGTACGCGCATCATGATGAGAGGCGGAGTGAATGCAACGTGTCGAGGCCTCCTCACAGCCTTTTCGCTAGGCCCACCTTGGGTTGCCTCACGGGGCCTCCACCCCCCCCACCAGGAGAGGGGGGGTAAAAAGGGAGTGAGGTACTCCCGTTCGGCGTCTGCTCCATGAGAGCCGCCGAGGAAGCAGAGCGGCCTTGACGGTTGGGGAGGCAGTGTGAGGAAAATAAAAGAAGATTATTTCCCAACATGTTGGCTGAGTCATCAGTTTCAAATGTGTTTTACATATCCCCCACTCTGGCCGGTGAGCCAGCTGCCATGACCTATCGGTTAATAGCCAGCCGGGTTCGGTACAAAAGCCTGCGCTATTTAATCTATCGATTAATAAGCTGCGGAGCACAGTAATTACACCAGCTGCCTTCAATCTGGTGATTAGTAGGCAGCATGGTTCGCTGCAGGGTTCTGGTGGTTATGATTCTTCGGTTATTAAACCACAGACCTCGCGGCATTCTTCTGTCCGAGATACGCCACCTATACACGGTCATAATAAGCCCAGGAGCGCAGTGTTAACGCCTCATGTGGATATTACTGCACACACCTCCACCCATCCTCTGAGCGTGTACACGTCTCATGATGCGAGGCGGAGTGATACGCAGCGTGTGGAGGCCTCCGCACAGCCCTTTCGCTCTAGGCCCACCTTGGATTGCCTCACGGGCAGCGGCGGCGAGGGCTCTGGCGTGGCTCGTCGTCATGACAACCACAACACATCTCGAGCATGCGCGCCCGCTGTCAGAGGGTTTCTCGGCGTGGCAGCGCATGTGTTTGATGGACGGATGGATGCACAGGCTGATCAGCAGGGTACACCCTGCAGTTCGCCTCCCCCCCCCCCCACAGTTCAACGGGATACAGGTGACATGCCTAACATCCCGTGAACAGTGTATTGCGCTCCAAGCAGAGCTACGGGAACTCCTGTTCTATTTCCAGGGTTCCCCAGGAGGAAGAAAATCAGGGGTATTACTCCCGCTATTTTCTTATCCCGAATAAGACAGGGGGAATGAGACCCATCCTCGACCGGTCAGTTTTCAACAAGGCAATAATGAAAAGGCCTTTTCACATGCTGACGGTCAAAAAGGTGCTAGAGTGTGTTCACCAGGGAGATTGGTTCACCTCTATAGACCTAAAGGATGCATACTTCCATGTACCCATCATTCCGCAACACAGGAAATTCCTGCGGTTTTCATTCCAGGGAATAGCGTACCAGTACAACCGTCTGTCGTTCGGCTATTCCCTGGCTCCTCGTACTTTTTCAAAGTGTGTAGAGACGGCGTTGCAGCCGCTACACAGAGGAGGGATGAGAGTACTATTTTTACCTGGACCTGGACCTGCTGCTGCATGGCTCGCTCCAGGGAGGAAGCGGTTTTACAGACGGTACAACTCATATCGTATCTGTCAAAGCTGGGTTTCATGATAAATTGGGAAAAGAGCTGTCCTATTCCAGCCCAGAGTATTGTTTACCTGGGTGGAATTGAACTCAGCCCGCATGAGAGCACGACTCTCACGGCAGAGAGTGGAGTGGACACGCTGACAGCTCTCCTTCGACGTGTCACACCCCGCAGCGTGGTGACGAAAAAGCCCCCCACAGTTCAATGGGATACAGGAAACACTCCTGTCCTCCCAGAAGCTATGTCTTGCGCTCCAAATCCGAGCTGCTGGAACTCCTGTTGAAAGAGGATATTTCCAGGGTTCCTCAAAGGGAGGAAAATCAGGGGTTTTCACTCCCATTATTTTTCTAATCCCGAAAAAGACTGGGGCAATGAGACATCCTCGATCTGTCAGTATTCCACATGCTGACGATCAAACAGGGGCTGGAATGTGTTCACCAGGACGACTGGTTCACTTCCACCTGAAGGATGCATACTTCCACGTACCCATCATCCCGAAACACAGGAAATTCCTGCGGTTTCTCATTTCAGGGAATATCAGACCAGACAATCGTCTGCCGTTTGGATATGTCCTGGCTCCTCCCATTTTTGTGTAGAGAAGGCTGGAGCCGCTACACAGAGGAGGGATGAGAGGGTGGTTTCCTTTGGACGACCTGCTAGTTGCTGGCTCGCTCCAGGGAGGAAGTCGCTTTACAGACGGTACATCTCGTATCGCATCTGTCAAAGCCTGGGTTTCATAACAAGTTGGAAGAAGAGCTGTTCCCTTCCCTCTCAGACAAACGTTATCTGGAGTGGAATTAAAAACTCAGCCAGCAGCAGAGCGCTCTCTGGCAGCGAGTGAGAAACTGACAGCTCTCCTCCGGCGTGTCACAAACCACACAGCCCTCTCCGTAACGCAGCTGCTCGGCATTAGCGTCAGCTGGTCACGGGGCGGATTCCCCTGGGTCTCCCCCACAGGGGGAGTCTCCAGAGGTGCTTCATTCACTGCAGAAGCCTGCTGTTTTAACCTATTGGTTTATAAACTGCAGAGCTCGAGGCATTCCTCTGTCCCAGATATGCCTTACACACGGTCATAATAAATCCACGAGCACTGTTATAACGCCTCGTGAGGACAGCATACACACACCTCTCATCCTCTGGGCGTGTACGCGCCTCATGATGAGAGACAGAGTGGAATGCAGCGTGTGGAAACTCCCTCGCAGCTTTTTTGCTTCACGGGCAGCAGCGGCGAGGGCGTGGCACGTCACCATGACGACCATTACGGCACATCACAGAGAAGCCTCTCCCGCCAGCAGTTCCATGGGATGCAAGAAACACTCCCGTTATCCCAGGAACAGTGTTATTTCCGGCGAATTTAACCGAGGGGCTCGCAGAACGCAGCAGCCGTGCTATGCGAGGAGTATGGAGACTCAGACCGGTGTCACGCACACTGGCGCCTCAGTGGGATTTGGCTTTGGTGTTATGCGCACTAAAGAAAAACCCCATTTGAACCTGATCAGGTTCCCCTTAACTGTATTCAGCCAAAGTAGTACTGCTTTTGGCTCTATCAGAGGAAAGGGTGATCTGTCTGCTTTCCCGGTGGCTCCGTCATGTCTCCGGATCCATGGAGATGCAGTTCAGCTGTTTTACGCCCTAACCTGGCTTCATGCCTATAAGGTCATCACAACTCTTTTAGGTCAAGAGTGATCACCCTGGCTGGCTTCTTCCCCCCTCCTCACAGGTCGGAGGAAGAAGAAACATCTCATCTCCTCTGCCCGGTGCGCGCGCTGTCTGCTATGTGGCGCGCACGGCGGCATTGCGCCGTTCTCAGCGCCTGTTTGTGCACTACAGAGAGCGCTCGATCGGGCAACCTCTGTCTACACAACGGCTGTCACACTGGCTGTGTGAGGCTGTGTCACAGGCATATGTCTCCTCTGGGGTGGAGCCCCCGGAGAATATCAAAGCGCACTCAACCAGAGGAAATTCCTCCTCCTCGGTGTTGCGCGGAGGAATGTCAGTGGAAGATATTTGCACGGCTGCATCTTGGTCTTCCCCCTGTTCATTTATTCAATTGTATTTGAGGGATGTCTCCCTTTCCTCTCTGACACGCCCTGTACTGGGTGTCCTGTCAGAGTGAGTGACGTCAGGGATCCAGCTGTGCGCCTCTCTCCTGCCTCGCGGCACACAGAGAGCGGCCCTTTTTCCCCTCGTAGGAGAGGGACGTTCCCCTTCCTCTGACACACTTCGTAGGGAGTGCCTGGTCAGAGTGAGTGTCGTCAGAGATCCAGCTGAGAGCTCTCCTACCTGGCTGACACGGAGAGAGCGGCTGTTCCCCCTCTATGATCGCAGGACAAGGTGGGACCTTCGTCTCTACTTTCTCACAGCGGTCGGTATGTATTGTTCCCAGCCTTCACCCCGTCAGGAAAACAGGTATGTTTGCTCCAGGGACGGGGATGTGCCATTACGCATGGCACAACAGGCAGGGGGGTGTTATTAAGCAGGTATGTCTGTGCTTCTAGTGCTGGACGGACCCAGTGGGGCGCAGACTACATCATGCTTCGCCCTTAACCCAATAGCGATAGCCTTAGAGTGCGAAGCCATATACGAA